CCTGGCTCCGCCTTCCTGTGTCCGCCAGCGTCGCCGTCACCGGGCTGGCCTCGTCTCCAAGCTGCTGGACGGGGGAGGTGGAGCGGACCCTCGCGGGGCTGCAGAACCGGCAAGACCACCCTCCTCCATGTCATCGCTCCAGGTCGGGTCGGCGACGATGGTACACGGGGAAAGTAACAAAGGTAACGTCAGTCAAGACCTGGGACAGGGCGGCCCGGTTCCGGAGCCTGTGGGGCCGGTGTCGCAGAGGACTCAGCGCGGATCGTGACAAGATAGGAGCCTCTCGAAATGAACCACGCAATCTTCTAGATAAGCCACGGTTACAAGGCATTCTGGCCTTAGTACCTGGAAACAAGAGAGTTCGTGCAAATGCCTCGGATGAGGAACAGCTAATTTAAAAAATGGATCTGTCTGCTATGCTATTTGGGATAGAGAAATCTGCTGCCATTCAATTTCTTTCTTTCTCTTTATTTTTTGTTTTTTTGAGACAGGGTCTCACTATGTAGTTGAGACTGACCTGGAACTCACTATGTAGCCCAGGCTGGTCTCGAACTCACAGCGATCCTCCTGCCTCAGCCTCCCGAGTGCTGGGATTCCAGGATTTTGTTCCTATAATATTTGAAAGTCTTAGGGCCAGGGATATCACTCAGTGGCGCCACTGCCTGCCTCACACGCTCAAGGTCCTGAGTTCGATCCCGGGTACCAAAAACAAAACAAAAATTGAAAGTCTTTAAGGAAGGCTGCATTATTTTCCCTATATGGATAGTTTTTCTAGGAGGACTAATTCTGAGACAATGCAGTAGGTAAAACGGAATATATGTTGACTAACAAATTTAAAAAAATTTTTTTACAATTTAATTTAAAAGTTACATTGATACCTACATGACTTGCCAAGCAATATGATTTAAAAATTCAAGAGGGAGCCGGGGGGCATGGTGACACACACCTGTAATCCCAGCACTCAGGAGGCTGAGGCAGGAGGATTGCTGTGAGTTCCACACCCTCCTGGGCTACATAGTGAATTCCAGGTCAGTCTCAACTACATAGTCAGACTCTGTCTGAAAACACCAAAAAAAAAAAAAACAAGAGGGCTGGGGATTTAGCTCAGTGGTTCCATCTCAGGCCTTGCAAGTACAAGGGCCTGAGTTTGATCCCCAGTACCAAAAAAAATTTTTTTTAATTAAAAAAAATACAAGAAACATAATTAAAATGATAGAAGTACCAATTTGGCTAAAATCCACAATTTTATAGAACTGAGCAATAGTGTTAAAAATCTCTTTGCTGATTATTTAAAGATACACAGATGGTGTTATGATTAAATTGTGCCTGATTTATAGTCCAGATCCTCTTAAACTTTTAGTTACTTACAAAAAGATCTGGTTTCCCTCATGGATGAAAAACTGTAAAATTATAAATGGAAAAGTTTTGGATTATGGGTAAAGTAAATACATACATTTTGCTTTATGACGGCCATTACATGTTAAATAAAAAAGCTTAATTTTTTCTGAGTTTTTTTAAGGATTTCATGAGAAGAGTCACAATTTTAGAGATACAGTGTTGATTATACTGCTTTATTTCTAGTACATGTAGGTAGCACAGAATTATTTATGCCAAATGTACCTGTTAATGGTTATTTTTTGAGTCAGTGCAGAGCTCCAGAAGAAATTGTAATTTAAGAACTGCTATGAAGTTTAGAACTCTGGCAGAACTTAATAAACTTGAGGATTCATCTTATATTTATTAAAAGTAAAGTAAAAGAGGTTTATTTCCAAACTCCCTCGAGTGTTTTCTTGGTATTAATAGGATTCCTGTAAAGACAAATGTGCTAAAGGACTATTTTAGTTTATAGGTTGTATATATCATTCTACTGTCCTTGGCAGATAATTATTAGATTTATTAGTTACATATTTTAAAGATTTAGCTGTTACTATTTTAAAGACCAAAAAAAAAAAAAAAAGAAAAAAGAAAAGACAACCAGGCTTTGTTGACATTAAAATGACATGGCAAGAAATTTGACAATAGAAAGAGTACAGCCGGGCTTGGTTGTGAATGCCTGTAATCCCAGCACTCAGGAGGCTGAGGCAGGAGGATTGCTATAATTTCGAGACCAGCCTGTCTGCATAGTGAGCTCCAGGTCAGTCTGAACTACTTAGTGAGACCCTGTCTCAAAACACAAAAAACAAAAAAAGAAAAGAAAGAAACAGTACATAAGAGTACATGAGTCTAATACTGAGAGAGATGTGTTCAAGGTTTTTAGAGTGTTTTCCCATTGTAGAAACCAGGGTTCATTTAGAGACATGGGGTTTTGTTTATTGTTTGTAGAAAAATGTTGATTTTAATTTGATTCAAAGTCATTTTTATTATACCATTTTAATGCATCCTTCTTGAGGTTGCTTTCTCCTGAACATGTCTTAACCTATTATGGTCGAACTGTTATTTAAAGCAAGTAAAATATTCGAACCTCCGTTTAGTTAAAAGTGCTATTTCCTTTGATACAGCTATATAGACCAGTTCTGTTGGTGACAGTTAAATTTATTTCTAAGAACTCCTGAATGTGTTGCCCAGATAAAAATTTAAATCACCTTATCTCAATCTTATAAAGTTATTTATGGCCACTTACACTTTTTCTAGAATTATCTATTCATTTTACTTGCCCATTTTTTTATTGAATTTTTTATTTGGAGGGGTATGATTTTTTTTTTTAGTTCTTTATATATGCTAAGTGTTAGTCCTCTATCTAAGGACTATCTAAGGAATAGCTGGAAAAATTTTTCCTATTCTGTAAGTTGTCTCTTCTTTCTGTTGGTGGTTTCCTTTGCTGTGCAGAAGGCTTTTTTTTTTTTTTTTGTAATGGGGTTCAAACTCAGGTCCTTGCACTTACGAGGCAGGCTGATCAACTGCTGAGCTAAATCCCTGACCCCTGCAGAAAGCTTTAAATCTGATATGATCCCATTGTTAACTCTTGGTACTATTTTCTGTGCAACTGGGGTTCTGTTCAGAAAGTCCTTGCCTACACGCCTATGACTTCAAGAGTTGTGCCTATTTTATATTCCAGGAGGTTGTTTCTGTTTTAACATGTACAGTAGATCTATCTTGACTTTAGTACAGGGTGAAAGATATGGGTCTAGATTCAATCTCCTGCATGTGGATAGTTAGTTTTCTGAGCACCATTTATAAAAGATGCTATCAATCTTCCAGCCTTTGTTTTTGGCCCCATTGTCAAAGGTAAAATACTTGATTGTCCTTGGGGTTGTTTCTGCATCCTCTACACTGTTGCACTGGTCTACATGTATATTATTATCCCAGTACCATGTTGTTTTTATCACCATAGCTTTGTAATATAATTTCAGATCTGAGATTATAATGCCTCCCACTTTGCTCTTGTTATCCAGGAGGAGTTTGCTATTCTGGGTCTCTTCTGGTGCCACGTAAATTTTAGGATTGTCTTCTCCAGTTCTGTGATGAATGCTGTTGGTATTTTGATTGTGACTGTGGTAAACCTATATGTTGGTTTTAGAAGTGTGGTCATTTTGATTGTATTGGTTCTTCCTATCCAGGAACAGGGGTATATGTCTATTTTCTGATGTCCTTTTATGTCTACTTTCAGAGTGCAGTCATTTTCATCGTAGAGGTCTTTCACTTCCTTAGGTTAATTCCTAAGTATTGAATTTTTCTTGTTGCCATCGTGAATATTTTTTCCAAAATTGTGTTTATGTTTCTCTGATCTTTTATGTTCAGTAGTACTTTCTTTTTGAAGTTGGGTGTGATACTATATTTATATGCTAATAATTTTTATCTCTTCCTCTTGAATTGTGCCCTTAACCAATATGTTGGGACCTTCTTTGCCTCTTCTAATCAGTTTTGTCTTGAAGTTCGTCTTGTCTGAAAACAGGTCAGCTACACCTGCTTTTGTCAGGTTCCATTGCATGAAATAGTGTTTTCTGTCCCTGTCCTTTGATTGTTTTAGCTTCATCATTTTGAGAATCTGATGTAACCCCAGTAGGAGGGCAATTTAGAGGCAATAGAAAAAAGGAAACTGCCGAACAAAAAACCCCAATACTCTGCTTGGTTCTAGGAAATTCTTAGAAACCCCACGCTGAGCTCCAGGCCCCTTGACACCCATCACTGGGTGATGTAGCCCTCGTTTTGGATTACCTACTGTGACCTTGATCCTGAGCAAATCACACAACGTTTTATGTGACCTTTCTGGGGGTTCAACCCATCAAAACCGGGGCCAAGTGAGAGCTCCTTTTTTTTGGTACCCGGAACTGAACTCAGGTCCTCCTGCCTATGAGGCAAGTGGCCGCACCACTGAGCTAAATGCCCAGCCTGTGGGAGCCCCTTTTTTCCACGCTAGCCTGTGTGCTGCCTCCTGTGCTCTTCTTATAGGAGAACAGAAGAAAGGTTAACCCTGAGGATGCCAGAGAGATCAGGAAGGCGCTGTAAGCAAGTGAATAAATCAGATCCTTTAAAATCACGATATTTGAAAAAGAGATAAACTACTCCAGCTTCCTCATGCTGAGAAGATAAGACCACTGCCACCCCAGCCCAGACTTGACACCGAGGAGGATTTACCCCTTCCTATCTTTTGGACCAAAGCTTGGCTAAATCTAACAGCTTTTTCTGGCTTTTGTCCTGACCCATGTCTAATTTAGAGCACTCCTGTGCCCTTGACGGGGGTGAACTAGCTGCTCTCCTAATTTGGCCAAATTATAAGTAAACTAATTTTTCCATTTTTATGGACTTTTCTTGTTCTTGGTTGTGGGCAGGTTAAAAAAACAAAAAACAGAGAGCTGAGACCCAGGTGCAGGCCTAACTGAACGCTGCTGGTTACAGGATAGTGAACCATAAAGAGAGTAGCTCACTTAGACTGCCCTTTGTGGTTTCTATACAAAAATAGAATCTGAAGCCAAGGATTTTGCTCAGTGGTTCTGCTGCCTGCCTCGCAAGTACAAGGTCAGGAGTTCAATCCCTGGCCAAAAAAAAAAAAAAAAAAAAGAATCTGGAAAAAACAAATTTTTAGGACTGTGCAGACCCGAGGTTTATAAACACCCTCTTTTCCATGTCTTGGGGTGTTCTTATGAACCCATCTGGTACCTCTGGAGAGTCATGTTGGGACATGGAATCAGGAGCTTATCTGGGGCTTCCTCACAAGGTGAGTTTGGATTCAAGCTTCTTGAACCATTTGTCTGGCAAAGAAGTTCGGATTTTGGGTTGTGTTTGTGGTCAGTATATTCAGAAGAGACAGTCAGAGGAACTTACTGTCTGAGAGGAACTCGCCTGTGTTTGGAGATCTCTGTTATGATTTGCTTCAGAATGGAAAAGGCTTGCTCTATCTTGGAGCTTCTTCGAGAAATTTTGGTTATCTGTGACTTAGAAAAATGCTTGTTGTGATATAACGTAGCCTGTATAACTGAAACTGTAATTTTCAGGCAAGACAAGACTTTTAAAAGTCAGATTTTTTTTTTTCTTTAGAAACAAGTGGCTTCTCCAAACAGCCTCAGATTTAGGACCGAAACCAACACCCTCTCCCCTCTAGCTGGAGGAAGGGACACAATACGCAGGTACAGTTCTGGCCCCAGAGGTCAGAATCCAGCTTCCTTTCTAAGGTAAGCGAGGAAGTGGAAGATGGCGGGAGGGATAAAGCACACCTGGGGTTATCCATTGTCTCTTTGTCACCTCTGTCCCCTTTCTCCCTCCCCACGAAAGGCCCTTGCTTTCCTGGACAGAGGGAGATGGTGCTCTGTGGTAATGTGATATGAGTCCCTCATCTCCTAAGAGCTGGCTTTGAATAAAGCCCCCCCCCCGCCCTTTCTTTCTTTCTTTCATCAAAAATGGCTTCCCAAGGTTTGTTTGGGAGCAGTAAGCAAACAGATCTGAGCATACAGACCTGAACGGCCAAAGCAAAAGCGCGCTGTGATCTAATGCGGATATTGTGAAGATCTTTTGGAGTAACTTTGGCTAGAATTATATTTGTGGCTGCTCTGTTTTGCCCTTTTGAGCTCACGGCTTTTTTAAACTGGTGAATTTGAGGTAGGATAGAAACAAAATAAAGATAGGTTAAAAAAAGCGAGACAAGAAAAATGTAATTTAAAATTGTACTTTTTAGGAAAAACTGGTTTCAGGACATAAAGTTACTCAGGTCCTTTTCCCCACTGCAAAGAGATTTGTTTTTTGAAAAAAAGATCCTCAGGGTTGCAATTAGCTGGGCATGGTGGCACATGCCTGTGACGTTAGCACTTGGTAGGCTGAGGCAGGAGGATCATCATGAGTTTGAGGCCAGCCTGAACCACATAACAAGAGTGTTTCCTTTTTTTTTTTGGTACCGGGAATTGAACTTGGAACCTTGTGCTTAGGAGGCAGGTGGCAGAACCACTGAGCCAAATCCCTGGCACAAGACTCTGTTTCAAAAGACAATTAAACTAGGTCTATGAGTTGCACCTGTATATCATTCTTTTCACCTTCGAATAGGTCGTTACCATTGCTTTTTCCTGTAAAGAGGGGCAATAATTCATGGCAACAGAAGACAGCAAAAGTGAAAAAACAAAACCAAACCAAACCTTCGTTTTTCTGCCCCTTTTATCTTATTCAGACTACTTAAGGTGGGTAGTGCTTACATCCTCAGTCTAGTACCCCCCCCCGGGCCTAGGGCTGCACCATGAATCGAACACACACTGTACATTCAGCCACCTTTGAAAAAGCCCCACCTGAGACCACAGAGGCTTTGGGGTGACCTTAGAGCGGACTTGCTAGTAGGAGGTGGTAACTGGGTGTGAATGTTGGGCCCAGATCGCGGTACCCCAAAGACCACCAAAGAGTCGAGTCCGGTGCAACCACAAGAGGGGTTTATTGCAAGCTCGAGCCTGGACCCCCGGTCCTCACCGAGGCAGCGGTTCTGAACCAAGAGTCCCGAGCCCCATTTCAAACAGGCCTTTTATCAGCAAAGGAAGCAGAACTAGGGGCTTTCTAGGCGGGTCAGTGCCTGATTGGTTAACATTGGGCAAAGGCAGACGTGGTTCTATTCTATTGGCCAGGGCCAGACGTCCCTCCCTGCAAGATGAACAGAGAAGGACACCTGGTTCCAGTTTAGGAGAGCTGTCGCGGGTTTTTCCGAGAACTGGGTCCAAAGGGCACTCTGAGGCTTTTCCAGTAACTGGGTGGTCGCCTGACCACAAAATGGAGTCAGTTTGGTCTGCACGTGACCTAGAAGGGTCTTTCTCCCTCTCCAGATCCTCCTTCGCTCTCTGCTTCCCGCAACCATAGCGCCAGCAGCTTTTCCTCCACGGCGCAGCCCTGGCTGTTTCTGCATTGGATCGTGCCGTGGACTGAAACTGTGAGCCAGCATAAACCCCTGTGACGTGTAGGTGTCACAAGAAAGTGACTAAGACCGGTTCCGGCAACAGAATGGAGTCCTTGCTATGATTATCTGGTCGTGTGGTTTAGAAGCCTTTGAAACTGGCTTGCACGAGGAGTTGGAAGACTTTGGAGACGCCAGCCGGAGAAGCTGTAAAGCTAGAATGCTGTAAGCTGAGCTTGAGGGGCGATTCTGGTTGGAGCTGAGAAGCGCAGACTGCTGACAGCAACAGGCAAGGCTAGGTTCCCAGCTTCAACTGGGAACAAAGACTCTGTCGGACGTTGGACTGGAGGCCGTGCGTGTGTTAAGCTCTACAGAAAATGTGCCTACGTTACGCTCATGTCCTGAGACTTTGCCGAGCATGATTTAAGGGTGGAAGACTAACCCTGCAGAAGAAATTTCAAAGCAACTGAATTTTCAGGTTATGATGTGGGTACTGCTGGTGGCATTCAGGCAAATTTATATTGTGAAACAGGAGCAAAAAGCCTATTTGAAAAACTTTCAGTTTTACCAGAAAGGAAGTGCCTGAAAAGTTTGGACACAGAAGAGCCTGGTTGCTGAAAAAAAAAATTACCATTAAAATGAAGCCAAGAAGGACAGGGATTTTAGGTCAGGGGCACCGCACCTGCCTTGAAAGCACAAGGTCTGGAGTTCCACCCCCAGTACCAAAATAAAACAAAATGAAACAAAAAACAACAACCAAAAAGCCAACTACTTTGCATCAGGACAGTAGGAAAAATGCCTTGAGGGTAACTCAGAAATCAGCAAGGCCCCATCCTCGAAGGTACAAAAGGAAAAAAAATCTGTCCTCTGAGAACAAAGTCTGGGGAGTTCGGCTCATTCAAGGCCAAATAGGAAAGAGTTTCCTCTGCAGTCACTGCCCAACGGGTCCTGGCTACTCCTCCAACGGGCTACAGAACTTGGCATCATCCATGTGGTCTGGTTTTACAGGGGCAGAGGATGCAAGAGTTGCGGGGTCAGAGAGGATTCTACCCAGATTTCAAAGGAGCAGTTTGGCCTTGAGAGGGCAGTGTCCGGAATGAAGGTGAAAGTGCTATGGAGACCTTGCACTCCAGGCATAAGGAACATCTGCTGAGGAAATCTGCAGGCTGCGAGCCGGGTGACCAGAGGCACGGAGAGCTACAGCATCTCATCACAGCTTGCCTGGTATTCTAGGCCCACAGTTACAAATTTTAATATTTGTTCTGCTGGGTTTCAGCCTTGCTTTGGGATAATTTCTTTCTGCGGGTTATTTGCCAGTCATCAGGATAATACGTAACTTTGTTAAAAATTTTAAAGTACCGTTGCCAGGCTCCACCTGGTCCTAAAATGGTAAGTGAACGTGCTATTTAAGTCCAAGCTACACAAGCAAGGGTTAAAACCGCAGCTCTCAGCAGAACCCACAGCAGATGTGGGTGACACGTGGCTTCTCTGGCTTTTCCTGACCCAGGCTGTGAGGACTTCAGGTAAAACAGGACCTGGTGTCACTGGGAGGAGATGAGACCGTAAAACCATCAAGTACAGCACATCTTCTGTTCCTCGACCACAGAGGTTTGCACTGATCACTGCGCGTCACAGATGTGCCAGACCCCTCTTCCCATCCCCTATAAAAAACCTGTGCCTTTTGTCCCTGCGACACTGATGGCCCATTGGTAAGTACCCTCCTTCAGTCTGCACCCAGGCCGATAAAGTCTGAGCCTTTGCCCTAGCCTGCTGGGGCGGGCTCAACCTTCTCTGCCCTGTGTCACAAGAGTGTGCATCGCTTTTTATATATTAAGTGCATAAACTTGTAGGTTTTTCTGGGAACACACAGAGTAATATCTTGATTTTCTTGAATCATCTAAAATAGTTTTTATAATAATATTAAAATTGGATTAATACTTATAACTACACCTGAGTCATTAGCTGCTAAATTTAAGTATTTTTGACTTCATAAAGTTAAAAAAAGACATTTCAATCTTAAAATTGCTTTTTTTGTGGGGGGGCATTATCTTTCTTTGTGGTTTAGGCTGACCTTGAACTCTGTAGCCCAGACTGGCCTTGAATTTACAGGGATCCTCCTGCCTCAGACTTCCTACTGCTGAGATTATAGGTGTGCACCGTCACACTCGGCTGAAATTGCTTTCTTAAATTTACTAAAATATCATTATATAATTCTATATTAAAATATCAGAAGTGTGATCAAACTATACAGGTAATGATTAATGTATTACACTAAACAACATATCGCCACCTCGAAAGACTCCTCACTTCAAACACACTTGGCTCTTTTTGTCATTTTCTTCTCTCTTTTTTTGAAACTCTTTTTTTAGTCTATATTTTTTTTTCTTTGCTTTTTTTTTTTTTTTTTTTTTTTGGTACCAGGGATTGAACTCGGGTCCTTGTGCTTGCAAGGCAGGCCACCAAACCGCTGAGCTAAATTCCCGGACTTTGCATTTTTTATTAGTATATGTTTATGGTACATAGCATCTAGATTCTTTGTGTGAAGTTGGTAAGTGTGCATAATACGCCTTAATTTCTTTTCTCATCCACTTTCCCGCCCAGACAAACTGGCTCTGCAAGAGCGATTTTAGGCCAGGTAAAGAGGAAAAAAAAAAAGATAAAAGCCAAAATAAACGGGCTGTTGTGAAAATGTGGAACGTTACAACAGCAAGCTCTTCGCGGCTCGCCTCTCCTTTCCTGCTGTCCAAATCCAGAGGAAACCCGAGAGGACTTCTACCTATGGGTCTGGAGAGGCAGGGCGGCGATCCCACATCTCGGGCTGGTACCAGTCGGGACTAGACCATCCCACTGAGAGCCTGCTCAAACTCTTAGGAGAGTGCAGGGCTTTGGGAACTGTTCTGCGTGTGTCCCGGGATCTGTAATTAACAGGTCGTGCCAATTTCCCAGCCAACTTTGCGGTGCCCTGCTCTCCTGTCTCAGTAGCAAATTAATTTAAACATTAAAGAGCCCTCATTAATTAAGAAAACATAAGCCTAAATGTCTTTTATTTCACGTGACTTAAGCAAATCTTTTTTTTAAGCAAATCTTTGAAAGATACAATAAATGTGTTTTCAGAACTGTTAGCATGCGGTTTTGCTTGTGTTGTTAGCAGTTAAGATTACATTTCATATCTTTGAGATGCTGTCTTATATACAGTAATTTTTGGATCTTTTTCCTCCTTTTTTAGTCAAATAGACTGTAGCAAGCCTGAGGGATGTGGGGAGTGGGTTTCAAAATAGCATTCTTTGCCAGTTATATTAAGTAAAGAAACAAAGACTTCACTGTATAAAATATAGATAGATTTTTCTGTGTGTTTTGAGACAAGGTCTCACTATATGGTTGAGACTGACCTGGAACTCACTATGTAGCCCAGGCTGGTCTCGAACTCACAGCGATCCTCCTGCCTCAGCCTCCAGAGTGCTGGGATTACAGGCATGCGCCACCACACCCAGCTGTACAATATATTTGTCATTATTTGTTAGGTCTCAGACCTAAAGCGATCCTGCAGATCTCAAGGACATTCTAAGGCTATAGATTGTCTGAATTTCTTCAGCTATCTGGCCACCTGGCCATCTATTTCCACAAAAAGACACACAGCATTCCTGGGTGCCATGACCTACACACAATGATCTCAGATAAGGGAGCATTCTTTGAAGACTCTCCCGCCTTGGGCTGAGACCTGATTTAGATTCTTAATGTGATTAAGGCCCCTGAAGGATTGCTAACCACTAAAAGGAACGAGGAAGACATTTTTGAGCTATCAACATCCCAAAGTAACTTCTAAGGAAAATTATTGATAAGGAGCCTAATTATCCTCATCCCCTAAGCCAGAGGAGTAACCTTTGTGAATGTAAAAATGTACCCAAATTTGCTTTTGAAGCAGATGGCCTTTGGGACGCTGCCTGCCTTCCCACTTGAAGATGTAACTCTCTCTTTACTTCACAATAAATTCTACCTATACGTGTGTTTACTCTGTGTGTCTTGACTCAATTCTTTCAGCAAGGGCACTGTAATGGTTTATATCTAGGTGTCCCCTCAGTGCCTCATGAGCTCATCGGTGGGGTTGTGCTACTCACAGATTAGTCCACTCATGAGTTTATGGCTAAATGTGATGTTGGGAAGAGCTGGGTCGCTAGGGGCATGGTGTAAGAGCCTGACTGAACCAGAGCGACTCCATGTTGACCAGCAAACGACCTAGAGACTGTCGCTCCCCCCATCCCTTATAGGATAACTAAGGATTCATTGTGAATTGTTAGGTAACTGCTTTGAATAGCTGGGAAACTAAATGGAAACTGTAGTGAACACAGAGACCCAACACAAATCACGCCACTCCTTACTTGCCTGTAGTTGAATGTTCTGAACATTATAATCTAAGTTGTAAATGGAATAATGGATAATCGCTCTGCTGATCATCAGGACGTGACGGTCAAGTATATGCTTGATGACCGCTAGCTCAGATCAACTGATTCTTTGCCTTTGTCCTCTTCCTGTAAGTTTTAAGTGTAAACCCCCCCTTAGCCC